CTTGCACTTCAAACATATATTGCCTCTGTACCTCTTGCCAACCGTAGAGGCTTGGCTAGTGAAAATTCTCATTTTTGGCAATGCAGCAGGCTAATAGAGAAAATGTGGAGAGTTTGAGATAGGTCCCTTCTCAACTTGTTTTATCGGACGACTACTAAAACTCGTTGGATCACCTGAGTTTCGTGAAGTACATGTGCATTCTTTGCCACACATCACTATCAGATTGCTTCAGGACTCGGGCATCTAAACACTTTAGATTATGCAATTTGATTGCGAGCTATTGCGGCTGCTTCACCTTAGAGATAGGAAACTAAAAATGTCCTCAATAGTTTGTTTTATCAGTCTCTCTCAGGGTATTTCTGCTTTTTCTCTGCCAAGATGCTTCAAAGGCTTTAGCGTAATTGGTTTTTCAATTTCAAGAATGCCATCGCGTCTCAGCTTAATTGTTTTTCTCAACTTCCTTGCCTCAATCCATGTTACAATGAATGTGATTTGTTCTTTATATCATAGGCTCTCCTTTGCACCTTTATTTGTATATATGTATCTTTTTTCATAGTTGTAATTGTTTATATTCCTATATGTAGAATTAATAAAAGCCTATTAAATTGTATGAGTTGTGTTCACCCTATTTCGTTTAAGATGATGAATGACTGGTACTTAATTTTTCCCACGATGGTATTAGTAGAGCTGATGTTTTCTATTAAATTTCACTTAGCCTTGCTTTCCCAAAAGGTGTCTTCATTCAGGATGGATTGCAGTTTCGACCTCGCATAGGTCTTATCAACATCTCCAGCGGGAGTCTAACTGTGACAATGCAGCGTGTAGGCTTGACACGTTAACTAATACCCCACATTGCCACGAGTGCCCTTGAGTCACAGGGTAGATGTGAATTTCAAGGAATATCAGGCATTTTACATATCACATCCTGTGCTGGGATTGTCGATAAAGCTATAGTAATCAACGAAAATACTTTTTTCGTAAATGAGTAGGTTTTCGAGAATTGTAATGAAAATTTTATAAGCGATGTTTTGAAATCCTCAATTACATTGTCCTGTCACTTTTATTTTTAAATAAGCAATTCATTGCAGACAAATCCTGTTTTTTTAATGAGTTTATTCTTACTCTGGCCCTTTGCCATTTCCGCTGTAAGGCTCCTGGATACTCGTCCCTAATTTTATTCTTCATCCTATTTTATCCCCATTCTATTATCTATCTCAACACGTTTGGAGTTCATCTACGACCCTGCCTTATGCCAATTGTAGCCTAGCTTCTAACCAAAAATTCGGTATATTTAAAAGGCTCCTAATGACTGCGTGCTCACTTTTGGTTTGCTAGTCATGTAACCTGTTTGGGTGTGCCATCGCTTACGCCAGTGATTCCGAAACTGTGAGCCGCGGCCTTTTTACATGGGCGCTGCGAAATATTGTAAAAGCTTCAATTTTAGAAAATGTGCCGTGATTTGCAGGCTCATCCATCACATTAATTATTAAATATTAATTTAATGTTAATAAAGTAAAAAAATAACAATATACACGAGTTTTATTTATTCTTATCTCTTACTTACGAATAGTCATACTTAGGGTAGGGCGCCATGGAAAAATTTTAATTGAAAAATGGCGCCGCGACTAGGAAACGTTTTGGAACCACTGGCTTACGCAAATGTGTACAGTTACACAATCGACTATTGATCCTCCCCGCACCATCTAAAGTGCCTGTCATAGAAGTTAAACTTTTTTTTATTGTGGCATCACTTAACTGACGAGGATGAATGCAGACCAGCATCAATATCATTGTTGCCATTATTATCACATTAGTGAAAGAGCGCACTTTAATATGTTCAATTTTTTTTACTTTATTTCAAGTCTTGTTTGATTAGAAAATCATCCTACTCCGTCTTCTTATTCATGCCTCTATCCATTAGAAACATGAACATGTACACGAATTCTTTTAACCAAAGAATAAAGAACGTCTTCCTTGTATCGCTTAGATGCATTTATTTTACTGCTGGCCTAAACTTAGTTTGTGCACCTGCAGGTAGTCTTAGGGGCGCCAAAAAACGCCATACCAGATACCCGTAATATCTCAACTAACCATCCGCTTTTCATTCTCACTCATTCGTGCATTCGTTAATTCGCCCACCTACTCGTCCCTGTCTCTCTCTCTCTCTCATCCTACAGGCATATCAATTCATTCATCCGTTCATTTTCAAACAAATCCTCCCGTAATCCAACCCTTTCTACAATCTCACTTTTGGATTGTCCCATTCATTTATCCAGCCACACTCACGAATTTATATATTCATCCGTTCAATCATATATTCGTCTATGAATAACGTCTCCATCTGCTGCCACGTTTTCTGCCATATTCTCCTTCCTTTATACCTATATCTAGGTATGGACTCATTATTTGTATAGCGAATATTGAAATCCCTCTCTGGGCCTGCACACAAGTTTGCACACATATCTCTGACGTTATGGAGATAAGATGCCTAGTCTACATAAGAGGCTGGGCCCTAGTCCCTTCGTAATTTATAGAGGTGAATAACGTCAGAACTTCTTTCAACTTATCCGCTCACCTAGTCACTGGCTATCTCGTGGTCTTGCTACTAGCCTCTCTTTACATTTATTTTCTTGCGCTTTGGGTGTTTGGCAATAAAACTATTCCCTGGCTTATCTAAAATTGACGACTATAATAGTCAGTATTCCCTTTTAATTCATTTAATAGTCTTTTTTCCTTGCTATCCTCCTGGCATCCCCTATATATTTGTGGCTTTGTCCAACTAAGCACAGTATCGGTCAGCGATAGGCGCCTTCGGTCCTTCCGTTTGAATTCTAATGCCCTGGCGTATATACCCATAGGCAATATGTCTGTGTGTAGGCTTGGATACCTACCTACCCGTCTGCTTGTATGTACTTACGTTTGCTTTTGTGCAGCTAACTAAAAATCCTCACTCAATGCTAATAGACATTGAAATTAACACAGCATATACATGGCTACATTGTTTGTCTGTTCTTAGTTTAGCCATTCAGTTTTGCAGCAGACTAAAATAAGTTGTTTTATCTTACTGCACTGGCATTTCTTAATTGCCCTGTCTTGTATTTCTCACCCGTCTTCTCCTTATCATCACTCCATAATGCTATTCTTGTTTTCAATTCCTCTTATTCGCTTTTATAGTCAATCCGTTCCCATTCCCTCTCATCTTCATCTTTGATCTCTTTTGTCTGCATCACCGACTAGCATCACTCCTTAATGATTATACAAGCCCTCTAATCAGCTTTACCTTCCAGTTGCGATATTTTTTGTAAGCATCGTATCTGGAATTGGCCTATTCCTGCATCACA